CTGTTGGAGTGAAGTGGAAGCATTTTGAGTCATTGCCAGCATGAGGTGAGGGGGCAGAGCTGGTGCTGCTTCCCACCTCAGCTCAGGTGAGTTTGGGGCAGAAGAACAAGCCCCGACATGAAGTATGAGGGAATATAGCTTATTTCAGGGTATCGAGGCCTGGTACTTTCCCCAGATCTCCTGCCCCAGACAGTGATCGAGATTGTGCAAGGATTTAGAAATAAAAGAAAACACAACCAAGAACTGAGGCTGTGATGGTCTTTTCATATGGAAACACAGGAAAAGAAACATCTACTGAAGATGCCCAGCTGGCCAATGGAGCCAATATTGAGGAAAGACTCAGCAATGAGGCGTGAGCTCCCACTTCTGGTTGCCTCTGTGTTCAGCATCAGGATAAGCCTCAACATCCCCTATTTATGGCACAGGAAGGAGGATAAAGCTGGCTTTATAGTCCAAGTCTGCCAAGAGGGGAAGGGAATGTCCCTATGCACTACATGCAATAAATGAGGGTCTTCAAAGTCCTGTCTCTTATGTAATTTCTTTTCCTGAGTGTCACAGCCTTTGCCTTTCAGCTGGAACATTCATATCTCCCAGCTGGAATGCAGTCGGCATCCCCAAGCCTGGCTGTAACCTCCCAGTTCAGAGGGCAACTAATTTTTCTGAGCAGCTAAGAAGTTACACATTCATCTGTTCCTGAGGTTAACTGTATCAGTGTTCTGCACCTCCTGCCTCCCCCATTAATTTTTGTCTCTTGTAATCATTTTTTTCTCATATCCTAGAAATTCCTGCTTCACTACCTTGACAGTGATGTTAACATCAGGTGTTGCATATCATGCCACACTCATGCATTTTACATTCCTATGACATGGCAGACTTTGATACAATTACAGCTTGGCTGCATATCTTCATTTATGTTACAATATTGCTTTAGTGATATCGGAGACAAATGTTTAATTCACAGAACCTCAGCTTCAAACTACAGTCCCTGAATGCAAACAGCAGACTTCAATATTTTTTCATCAATTTCTTAGTTCATAAAAATCAATTTTTGTAGAGTTTTTACACTGTACATAAAAGACTGTGGCATCAATTAGCCTTAATTCTTTTTTTTTTTCTTTTTTGGAAACCTCTTTGTAGGAAAATCTCATATTTCAGCAATTTGCATTATCCACACAATCTGCTTTGAAGTTCTAAGTTATGGTAAGAAAAGGATCCACTTATCTGCACATAAAAAATGTTCAAAGCTTATAAATTCCCTGAAACAGATGTACATTATCATTGGATTTGCCTTTCTCTCTTTGCTGTTGCATGGCTAATAGAGTTTCATGTGCCCCCTCACATCCTCCCCATTTAGCATCTTTTCTCTACAGAAGCATGCACCCTACTGTGCCAATCCACACTTCAAAGATTTCTGTCTATCTATTAGAAACAAAGCACAAAGTGAGAACATATGGCCCCTTTTAAATTTCCCACATTTAAGTCAATATCGTTTCTTTTCTCCTTTGGCAAAGAAACATAATAAGGTTTATCTTCTCCCTTCCTAAATCTGCTGGCTCTCTCAAACTGCTTGTGCCAATTCAGCAGTTACTTTGCAGTATCAGACTTGGCAGCACATATGAAAACAAAATCTTTAATTTTTAAAATTGCTTTTATTTCTTCAGATCAAGAAGATGCATTTAAATGATGAAAAAGGACAAAATGTAACTGCACACTTTCAGATAAATGGATTTTAAACCCATGAAAGGGCACAACATAAAGTCAACAGCGAAAAAATTGTCTTGTTCAAGTTATTTTCACAGTGACATCTTTCCAAATTGATTAAAGGGATGGAAAAGCATTCTGGAATTCAAGGCCTTACCAAGTACAAGCACCTGCTTGACACATCCCAGATATTCCACAGAAACCCAGTGTACTGGGGTCGAAGGGGAATGAGAGGACACTGTGAGACACTGATGCCCTTCTTGAGGAAAAAAATTAGTTATCTGTCTCAAAACCATTTTGGCTCCTAGGTTTTCTCTGTTGGTGGTACTGACATAGTAAACATACCTCTTGTGTGCCGGGAAGAAGGAATTCTGGACCATTTCTCTGAAGTAACTCCATCCTGCACAGCCTTGGGGAGATGAGAAACAGGGCACGCAGGATGCTCATGGAGAGATGTGCTGTTCAGAGGATTTCCTTTTCAATTGTGGGCTATAGGAGGAGTATCTATATGAACAAAGGCTCCAAGTAAAACAAACTTCATTAACTATTGTTAGAAGCATCAGCAGACACATGATATCCTGTGAATGCTGAATTCCTGCTTCAGTTATAGGGAAAGGGGCTTCAGTGGTGATGTTTATAGAAGAGGAAGGTATGAAAGTCTTGCCCTGCTCCTGAAAACACAATGAGTTGCTCCTTTAATTCATAGTTACTGGCTGAAATGACTCCATGTTTCAGACTCATAAGACCTCAAGATTGTAATCTTTAAATGCATTTGTTTTAGCATCCATATATTAGACCAGGAAAGTTCTTATAAAAACCTGTCCCTGATCAGTGCAAGCTAGGAGTGTCCCAGGACCCTGATTCCGAGAGAGAGTTAATTGAAGCACCTCTGTTTACAGCTGTTGATCCACTAAATCTGCACAAAGTTACAAAGTTGACATTGAAACCTATGGAAGTTGCATCCACTGATCCACTGAGGGTTTCTGGCCCTAGCAGACGGCACACTCAAACAACAAGTTGTGATTACAAACATCAAAAATAAAAAATATTCCCTGAGAAGGCTGTAAAGAGACAGGAGGAATGTGAGGCCCACAGTGCTGCATATTGCTGCCCTTCATACTTTCACTCTTACTGGAAACTCCAGGTCTCTTTAATTGAGCTTTTCCTCCCTTCCACTCCTTGCGGGGTGAGAGGGTTAATTGCTTTAGACTGAAACATTACAATTTTTGTACTCCTGCTTCCTAATGGCACGCTGAACATGCAGAAATGTTGTGTGCACACACCACACAGGAGTCCATACAGCCCTTAGAGCAGGGATGAGAATAGCTCCAGACCTTCCAGCCATGGATATCTATAAAGCACTGTATCTACAGCTTTAAAAATCAGCACTGGCCAAGTGAGACCTTAATGCTAATTGCCATAGCATTTCAGTGTTTATCTTAGTTGAACTAGAGTTACCAGTCATGGTTGTTAACAACCTCAAGTGGCACTTTATTCATCTATCAACAGTCTTATCCTGTGAACAAGCAAGCAAAGAACTATAAACACCCACTCCAAAGTCACTTTGTAGGTTTAAGCTCAAGCCCACAGAAAAAGGCTATTCACAGACCGTCAGTGAGAACAGACAAAATACAACCTCCAAACCAAGGTTTTAATCTACAAAGTTTTATTTGTCTTTTTAAACTTGTAAACCATAAAAAGAGCTTATCAAATATCTGAAATTAGTACAAGAAAAAGTGATGACTCATATAGCAAACTGCATTTGTAAGGTCCAAATTCCAAGACATGCATGGGACTCTCCTGGCTTCCATCTATGAAGCTGAAGACAAATTTGGCCCAGTTTTTTAGGTGTTTCTTTAAAAAATTCACAAAGCCTCAGCGTGCTACACTTCGTGAATAGAACAGAACAGGAAGGATTAAGTGCACGAATAAGCACTCAGCACCAGAAGGATCTGAAGCCCGTATCTTCATCCACAAAATACAATACCAAAAGAGTAATCTCTTAGCTGGTAGTAATTACATCTGCTTTGTCTCTATGGACTAGGCACTCAAAGGAAGACACAAAACCCCACTTCATAGACATGTCCTAAAAACCAGAAAGCGCAGTGCACTTCATTGCCAGTATGCCTGATATTGTTAATGTTTGCCCATTGCTAAATTTACGAAGCCCCCTACAAATTATATCTTCAACATTCTTAAAAAAATTCCGAAACTTCCTACTCATACCCCAAAATGAGACAAGCCTGAGGAGACAACCAATAGGCCTAGTCTGCCATTCCTTGTGATGTAAAGATTATCTGTTGTGTCAGTAAATTTCACAGGCATATTTTAGTTAATGCTTAGTGTTTAGAAAAATCAGGACAGACAGTGAAGCTTTGGGTAACATTTGACTAACTTATGTGTGTTTGTAATCAAAGAGAAAAAGAAATGATGCCACTATTCAAAACATGTTCTAAAGAATACTTAAAGCATCTGTAGAAACACCTCTGCTTTTAAAAAAGTTTCCTTCAGCTCAGATAGGGACTCAGGAAACCAGGGCATCATTCCTTATTCTGCCACAGCCCCAGTGATTATCTGCAACTTTCCTTCCTTGTGCCTCCCCCTGCACACTGGAGATCAACCTCTTATAGAAAGTCTTTCAAGTTTTCCCAGTGAAAAGCATTTTATGAACTACTGTTGCTATTTTATAAGCAATAAATGTACCATAAGAGATTCAAAAAGTAATATGAATATAGCTCCTCCATACAGCCTTTTCGTGCCTTGTGTGTGTCTCCCCCAGCCCCTCTGTTGGACATTTCTATGCTCTCCCTACATTTCTCAAATCTTTCCATCCTTCTCTTTCCAGTCTTTCATCACAGCTCTAACCCTCACAGTAATCTGCCTGAATAGTCCTTAAGTCCTGCTATTTAAATAAAAAAAAGGAATTAGAAGACCTCATCCATATGATTCCTATAATTTTACGGCATTTAGGATTGAATTGTCAAGAATTACATAGAAATATAAAAGTAAATTAAAGCATCATTGAAAACCTCATGATTTAGTAATTATAATCCAAGCTTCAAGTAAGATGCAGTTCAATAATTTCAGTATAAAGTTATTTGCTTTTCGATGTCTGCTCCTTTTAGACCATTTTGAGCAAATTTTAAATGTGCACGTAACAACACAAAAAAATCCCAAAACAGCCCCTTCCAAATCAAATCAACATCTGTCAAATATGCAAAGAAAATAAATTATTGTCATAATTTGAGGCTGATTTTGCTGCTAAGTGCATTAAGAAAGAAATCTTCTTCCAGAAGCTATTTAGAAAACACATTAATTTTTATTTTATGGATTTCCAAACATGTTTCTGCTTGGTACATTTTAAAAAAAGTCTAACAGCTAACAGGATGCTGAATAAGACTTGGTTCCCAGCAAAGCCATGAATAAGTCATGTTTGAAAACATATTTTCAGATCTTGATGAATTGCATCAAGGTAATTAAAGGTGAGACGTGATTAGCTGACATGTTTCCAAACATGAACATTCTTGCCTGTACTCCAGGCAAAAATTATGGTGAATGTTTTTGCAAATTTTCTAGCATGATGAATTTTTCTCAAGTATAATCTAGGCCCCAAGGGGCCCAACTTTCCTGTTAATTGGAATACAAATGAAATCTGTCATTCAATAATTGAGGTACACAATGACATATGGAGAACAGTATGCATTCATCGCATCTGTGTATTTATGTGCCAACTTGTAGACAGTCAAGCATACACAGTACTGATCCCTTTATAAAAAATCACCTCTGTCAGAATCCATCTTGTTCCACTCACTAACTTCTGCCAGAGGACACACACATACACACACACACACACGTATATCTTTAAGGTACTTCTCCAGCTAAACCTTGCTATTCTGTCCTCATGATTACACAGGTCAAACACTTGGCTTTTTAATTTGATATTGGCCAATATGCCAGGAGCATCTGTACCTCATCATCCAAGGGCAGAACTGGGTCTTCATTTCTAGCAATGATTGAATGACATGTGGATGTTTCAAACACATTTGGAAGTGTCTTGAAGTCCTCCAGTGACATCAGTAAAAAGCACAGTATTTGCTGCTAATCGTAATTAATTTACCAGCTCAATATCTTACAGTAAAACTTCCATTTAACATTAGCTACTACAAACCCATCAGCAGTAAGATGCATAAAAAATAAATACTAAAATTACTGGCTGCACATTATGTAGACTTCAAACCCACCTTCCTGGAATGAAATTATAGGTTCCCTGCAGCCAGTGGGAATCTGGCAGTCTTGCCAGAGATTTCACTGGGACAGAGATTTTACTACACAGCCTTAGCTTAGTTTACTTCATATTAGGTGGTCATGAAGTTGCGAGAAGAGTTTATGAATCCTTCTTTTCAAAAAACTGTCTTTCCCAGAATTGTAGCTGGTAGAGGTGAGCAAAATTTTTCAGTTGAATTTTTTCAGCAAATAGTGCAAATTTTGGGATCAGCTTTGTTTTGCTGAACTGCCTTGTGAAAAAACTGAAAAAGTCAGTGAAAAGGCTGGAGTTTCCATCTGAAATGACTTAATGCCACTCCATTTTACTTTTAAATAATAACAATATACTCAACTCTGGGTTTTTTTTTTCCCTTGGGAATAAAATGTTTTGTTTAACCAGAAATGAATCTATTTTAAATCTTGATTCAGCTACAGTTTTGAGCAACTTAAAATAATATTTTTTTTTTTAAAGAAAGGTTTTCAGAGTTAATAACAAAATGAAAAAGCAGTTATTCAACACAGGTCTAACAGCAGGGGACAAGAAATTTAACTTTGAAACTTGATAGCTTAAATATAAAACCAAAGCATACCCGGTCCATACGTAATTTCCTGATCCTGTTCCCAAAAACATTAATGCAAGCTCTTTCATCAGTGGGATCTGCAAGCACTAAGAGCAATTGCAATAAGCCCCTGAAATCCACAACAAGAAAAAGGAAATATACTTTCTGAACTAGTAAAACTTTAATTAACAGGGGGTTCTCTTGGCACAGTTTTTGCTGTTAAATAAATAAAGCATTTAGTCAAAACCATCTATATTTACTATACAAAATACTGAAAAGCAAACATATTTAAAAGATACGGAAATTTAAGGTTCTGTGAAAACAATCTGTGCTACATGTTATTCACACTTAATGCACATAACACAACTGCAACACAGTATTTAGATACTGTATATTCATACATGGCTGGTGTAAAGTTTTAGTATGGGGATGCCACGTTATTAAAATGCATTTGTATTTCACAGAATCTGAGCAAGGCAGAATTTGTCTTTTGAATCTCCAAATATAATAAACCAACACAAATCAATGCAAGGCTGTAAACAACAGTCAGCTGAGTTCTATTTCAGAGCTTGCTTGGCCCAGCAAGTACTGCACACTTCTCAGTCAGATGGGATTTTGTTATCGGTGCTGTTATCTTTTCCAGCAAAATATCTTTGGATGAAAGAGCATTTATACCTCTTTGCTGCCCTTTCTTAGAAAGCCTCACAGTTCTGAAAGCACTCGAGTTTTCCAGAATGTTTTCTGCTGTTCAGCAACAATCTGCATTAAAAAAAAAATTGACTAAGAAACAATTTCCACCTCTCAGTCTTTCTGGCATATGCTTTACTGAAAAGAGAACAGCTTTAATTACTTCTTCAAAACAAATAGCATGGCATCCCTTCTTGGATGGAATGTACACTGTGTGTTTGCATGCGGTATAATGTAAGTCACTTGAATACATCAGAATTTGTTAACACTATAATATAAATAAGCTTATTCCTTCTACTAGACATATAAATGCCTTTTTTTTTCTTGCAGTCCATAATTATATATACATTGAAAAAGAATGATACACAAGCAGCAAAAAAGGCTTAGACTAGAACAACTCAGTGGTAACTAACCAAATTTGTGGCCTTTTCATATTTTCAACACAGAAAATTCTGCACATAAATATTTTTGGACTTTAGGAATTTTAAAATAAACAGAACAGTATAGTTGTCACACAGATCAAACACATTTTTAAAATATTTTGTAAAATTTAACAGAACATGCTGTTGACAGCTAAAAAAAATAAAATAAACCAGATTTTTTAAAGAGGACAATAAATCTAAACATCTGCTGATCCAGGGAGACAAGAGATGGACCTAATTGCCAGGAAGCAGTGATTCTATTCAAATTCCACAACAAGGCAAGGCTTTCCACTGTTCTTTAAAAGATGATGTCTCCGTGTTCTTTGAAAGGACGGCATCCCTCTAAAACTGGTCAGCAGTAAGGTAATACCCCATTTTGGACTGATCAAAACTCTAGTCAGAAAAAAAAACCCCTAATCATAAAGGGCTTATATCAATGTTGGATAGTTACATTTTACAATATATACTATTGACAAAATACCACAACATTAAAAATAATTAAAACCGAAAGAAAATATGTTTATAGAACATTTATGTTTCCATGTAAGAGTTCTCTACTTGAATGTTCCGAAAGAAATGTAGGTGTTTTTCAGTCATTTTCTACCTGCAAAATGGTGATCTGTACAAAACCAAACTGAATCTATGATAAATCTGGGCTCCAAGGAAAGCAAAACTTGAATGTACTGACCCTTTTTTTTTTTTTCACTTTTCCAATTTGCTTTTGACCTTCAAATTTCTCAGCAGCCATTAAGGTCTTGTGACTGTGGTCTCATTCTCCTTCATGGAATGGAAGCCCTTTGATATGGAGAAAGCAGAAGAGGCCAGAATGATTGTGAATGATGATTTTTTTACATGTTGAATCATCTCTAAAATGGGAGAAGCACAAACTGGTAGGTGCTTGGGAAATTTAAATTGGAGGCACCAAGAAAATGCCATGGGATATGTTTCCAAAAAGTCACTCTTGTGGAAAAAAAGAGAAGTTAATATTCAAACCACAGATTTCTAAAACACAACAAAATGTACCTGAGAGTGTGCATATTTATATATATATATTTATATTTATATTTTATATATATTTGCCAACATTTAAAGTGAGAAAGTATATTTTCCTCAATTCTTTCTCAAAACAAAGAACTGTGGATTTAAACAAAAAAAAACCCCAATCAACCCCTCTCCTTCTCAAACCCCTATGAATGATACTTACAGCCCAAGCACTAAAGTCTAGTGATGCTTTGGAAAACCCCATTTCACATCCTCCTCTTTTCATATGGTTACCCCAAACAGAGTGGAGAATAAGCAAGAGAAAAAAAAATAAAATAAAAGAAGTGTATTTAAATATTACCCAGTATATAACAGACTGTACTTGTGTCAATGAAGAATCTCCAAGAAAATAAAGTGTGAGTCATACAAACGTAGCCCTGTTGACAAGTGTAGCTAATATTTCCTTGCAATTAAGATAATTTGAAAGGATGTGAACACAAACAGGCTACATTGAACGCAGTATATTAAATTTCCCCCCTGTAGCACATTACAATCAATAAAAAGAAAATAAAATCTGAATAATACTAGAGGTAGCAGCTGTTTGTATTTTCCATTATCTGAGTATCTCTGGAGTCCAACTCTTCCAACATTGCTCCCCTGATAAAAGGCTTGTGTGCGATCAGCCGACATACAGCAGAGTGGTAAGCTAGATGTCTGCAAGAGTGTTTGAAGTATCTTTCCTATTACAATGGAAGTAGTACTTGTAAAGAAGTGCGTTGACGACCTGTATTAAATCACAGCTCAAAAAGCTATGGTTGTTTGCTGTTTTACAAGCCACTTAAAAACAAAAACAAACAAACAAAAAAATCCACAAGGTGTTTAAGTAAGCTATGGTGTTCCACAACATATAAATAGGGTAAGTTTCAAGAGTTCCATCCATATAACCTCTAAAATATATGCAAGCTGAATATTAATGGAGTAATAATAATATTAATCATAGTAATGCCTTAGTTCTGGTATCTCAAGAATGCATTTCCTTCATATGGGATGATTCTTGGAGGATGTTGGTGGGATCTCTTCTATGTCTGGTAGAAGTGGTGGTAGTGGTGGTGGTGCTCGTGGTGGTGGTGGTGTTCATGTCTTTGTATCATTTGTCCAACTTGGCCTTCATATAAAATGACTGTGGGCAGGTCTCTCACATGTTCCTTTTCCACAACTGTCCCTGGAGACTGGAAGGTTTTGCACATTTGGTGATTCTCCTTTGCTCTCTGCTTATGCTTCTTGTGAATCTGTTGGGATTGCAAGGGAAGGTAAGGTAGATTCTGGCCCACCCGTGCACTTGGGGAAGCCATGGGCATGGGCACCCCTTGGAAAGGTTTATTTCTAACTGCCCTTCCAGGATGCAGAGGGGTGACATTTTTGCCCTGGGCTTTGGGAGACCTCACAAAGTGCTTGTTTGAGTCCTGGTTCCGGAGCCTCTGCTGGATTTCTGCAATCTTGGCATATGAACTTTCAGCCAGATTGATGTGGTTTGGATCCACCACTTGAGATTTCCTATGATGAGCATGGAAGGTTTCAGGCTCATGTGAACGGGATCTAGTTTGATTCACAATTCTGCCTGGTGGGTCATGTTTTTGAGCTGCTGGAGGAGATCCTAGGAAATAACAAGCTGAGTTAGTCATCTAGTATTTCAAAGTTTTAATTAGTAGCATGCAGTTGGCAGGGACAGCATTATCGGCAGAATAAATTTTTCCTAAGGAAGCAAATGCAATTATAGCTGTCTAGATTGATTACATTTAATTATTCTGACCAGTAAATAAAACACACACAAATATATATACCTATCAATAGAAGAATGAAGGTGTGTTTGTGTGTGTATATAAACGTCTTTACCTTCTCTTGGTCACCAAAATAACTGTGAGCGGAATAGTAAAATCCTGGCAGAGGGTAGGGAAAGAAAGGAAATACAAATCTCTTTAGTTTGGGGACAGAAGCCAAAATTCCAGGTATGAACCCACCTTCTCCTATTTTTGGGTCAGTAGTGAGTACAAAATAAGTGCTGGTATCATCTTGGGAACAAGCTCCAACATCCAAAAGTCAATCCTTGCCTCACCCATCGACTAAATAATTTAGATGTAAAGATTGTTCTTCTAGGCTCATCTCCAAGTTTAGCTACACAAACAAGTACATCAAAGCAGCCTTGCAGCACATTACCCATCCGTTGTGATACCACCAGTAATTATTTGCAGTATTCACTATTCCTCTCAGTAAGTCACTACTGACAAATCACACAGGTTCCCAGTTCTCTGTCCCTGATATGGAACATGCAACTGAAGAAAGAAAAGATGATGAAGTTGTAACATCAATTACCTGGCCCAAACTTTGATGTGTAGTTTTCTATTCCTGCAAGATCCAAATAGTGGTTTCTCCTTTCAATGTTCTCATCAACACAGTGACGATAGCACCCACTTTGCTCTGGATTGTTCTCACTCTGGTGGTATCTGTCAGCAGGAAGTAAAATTACAATTCAGCAGAACTTCTTTAAAGTTGTTATCACCATCTGCAAACCAACAACTAATGGCCCCTTTGAAGTGACAGGAGTTGCTCACAAAGAAACAACAAACGCTTGAAATTCTGGATGACCAGATTTGCTAAGTCAATAGGCCTGAACTGACTGTTCCTTCCCCTCACATAAATCAACCCCGATGTTGCAAAGCAAAGGAGGCTTTCAAATTGCATCATGTGTGCAAAAACAAATAAAATGCTCCTAGGCTTTATTACACTTTGTCTTGGGGCCAAACCATTCAACTGATTCTCCAATTTGGACATGCCAAAGAAAATCTGCTGTTTGATTCATGACTGTTCCCACTGCTGTCAGGAAGCACTGGGGTAAGACTCATGTCAGATAAATGTTCATGTGTATCTGCTTCAGAAAGACGAGCAACAGCACAGGTGTAGGAATCAGAGAGAGCCTGAGAAGAGAAGGTGTTGGTAGGACACCCAAGGGTAAACACTGCTTTCCAAAGTAAAGATCAGATCAGACACTGACTTTAGAATCTCAACTCCTTTTCCTGCTCAGCTTTGCAATTTTATTTATAGCAGAACTATTTCCTGAGAATGAATATCTGAAATACCATTCATTTATGAGGCAGAAAAAAATCAGGCAGAGGTTTACAGTATTGTAGCCCATAATGCCAAACAACATAATTCAGCAATTTAAATGGATGTCTGCAAATAGGAATAATATTTTCAATATAACAAACAGGATAAGCAGAAAACTCTTGATTAAGTTACTGCCTGTCATTCATACAGTTCAGTCTCCAAGACCACAAGATTGGCTTTGCTCTTTTTCTGTGCAATTGTGCTGATGTCAACCTAAGACCAGAATTTGGCCTTCTATGCTACACCAGTTGCTAAATATGGGCTCTTTACCATATGGTGCCCAGTACTCTGCTTTGAGTCTATTAACACATTTCCAAGTTTCCAGAGGCTGCTGATCCCATAGAGCTTTGGCACAGACAGCTTTCCTGGTCTAGCGTAGCACTGTTCAGGGACTTTACAGAACTGAGTCCCCCCGTGTCTCTGTCAGACGCAGGTCTACAGCTTCTCTGATAAAAGTCGCAAGACTTGACCTACCTGGAAGATCATTTTTGCTCTACTTTGATAGAGGTAGAATCTCCTGAATGGAGGAGAGTCTGCCTGGAAAGCAGGTAAGCTTTAAAGACTCTAAGTCAGCTTTGAACTCCAGAAGTGACATGGGGTACTGTCAAAAAAAAGAGGGAATGTCCAGATATTCTTTATTTTTTGGATACATAGCCAACACAGTACCTTTCCTGCCTCAGACACACTTTTACAGGTTGTTATACTTTAGCAGGTCAACACAAAAGATCTCTGGGGCTAGAATCTGTCTAATTGAAGTTGCCAGGCAACTTCACCTACAGAAACCATTGGGACTTACACATGGGCTGAAGACAATGCACAGTTTGCCCAGAAAAAACATCATTGGGTTTGATCCAACACAATTAAGCAACACTGTATACAGCACTGCCTGTTGGAAACAAAGTTAACAGGGAACCTGTTTTTTTGTTACTGTAATAAATTTAATCTCTCATCAAGACAGTGAAGAAGAACTATGCCAGTACTGCCACAACCCTACATTTTATTAGCTTTCTTACATGCAAGATGACGTTCAACAATATCCATGCAAATATACACAGTGAGGCAATTACACACTGATGAGAGATGTGCTCCAGTGTCAAAGACAACTTCAAGTACTTCTGAGAACTGAAGTGTCTGGCATCCAGCCCCACAGTGCTCTCTTGCATACACATGGGAAGACTCAGGCATGCATCAACCGTGCATCAAGAACTGTGTAAAATTACACAGTGTTGTTACTGGTTGTTTGATTTAGTTCAGTTTTGGTTTTAATAAAAAATGGCATCTGCTGAAGTGTTTGTGGAGTATATGAAAGCCCTTTCTAAAATTCCCACACTGGAGTGTCATCTTGATGGTAATAAGCACAGAGCAATATATCAGGAAAGGGGAATAGAGTAGTGACAGAACACAGGGAAAATGCAGGGCCATTTCCTGAAAGTCTCACTTACCCAGAACATACAGTTTAAGTCAGTTAGGGAGAACCAGACTATCTAGCCATGAATCTAGCTACTTATCTTGATACTTGTATTAGCCCTACAGGTGAAAACTCCTGCCTGTAGCTTCCAGCAGATGAAAAATCTAACCCATCTATCTCCCAACCTTCAGGATAAAAACATTTCTATCCATTTTATCTTGAATATTAATCACACCTCGCCTAGAATTCCTAAGTGACTGAATTTGTGAAATGTGTGCACTTCTCGCAAGTCCTCATTGCTGCTTTCAAAGGGGAAGCCTCTGCATTAATATTGTGAGATTCTATTGTGAGTCTCAGCAGCTTTCCTGAGGGTTATCATCTTGGCCAGGCTGCACAAAACATCCCTGCAACATAGACGTGTACAGCACATTCTTTGCCCTGTCCACATCTAATGGGATGCAACAAAAACTGTGAGATGCTGATCACTGTCTGATGCTGATCTGCTCAGACCAAGATACAGATTTGTTCTGTCTATGAAGCCTCTAAGCAAAGGGATGAGAAGGACAAACATTTTGTCCCAGCATTTGATGCTTCTATGACAGTAGATTTAATTGGAAATGCCTGCCATTCACAGAAACACTACATTAGCAGAGCCAGGACTTTAGGGTGAATGAGGGGGGAACTTCAAACTGAAGGGGATTTTTGCACTAGATTATCAAACAAAAAAACAGTCTGTTGAATCCACACAAGGCAAAGCTTTGCTAATGGGCAGAGGGAATCTAAACACCACATCTGGGCCAGCAAGTAAAACCATGGAGTGTTCTTCAGTTACACAGAAGATTTTGTACAGAGCTGCTGACAGAAGATTAATAGTAATTTTATTCTTCTTTTAATCTCAAATTTGATTGTACTGGGATTTGCTCATTGGGTAACTCACTAGCATTTTTTCTCTATCCAAAAAAGGGAGGTACTCTTCTCTTGTCATTTTTAATAAAACTGAATCCTCCTTCCCCTGATAAGTTTGTTATGTATTCGGACAAATAGCCGTAAATCCAAGGAGAGCCAAAAGTGTGTGGGGTTTGGCTTTTGGGTTTTTGTTTTTTGGTTTTGTGTGGGTTTTTTTTGGTTTGTTTTTGTTTGTTTGTTTTTTTTAATTAATTTGCAGCTGAAGAAACAAATGCAACGAATGAGTCAATGTCATTTCTGTAGCATTTCAGCAAACACTTCCCTCTGCCTTAGTGTAAAACATAAAATCTTAAAACATATCAAAGCTATATACCAAGATGACTTGTTAGCTCTCTGTTCTGGTTATGACCTGGCAACCAAGATAGACCTGTGGAGTTCTACCAGCCTCACTTATTTGCAGATGGCATCTAAACAGGCAACACACGTCCTCCAAAGAGCTCACAGAAGAAGAAAATTTCAGATTTTTTGCTTTTTTCTTTGTTTTGTTTTAATATACAAAGTATCCACCCAGGGAATCTGCTCATGAAAACTCCTGTTATTCGTCTATTTTAACATAATTTTTAAAAATAAAACAGACAAGCAAGAAATTAGGGGTTGAAGTTTCCTCAGACGTGCCCAGTGCCTGTCAGGAGCCAGGATTCTTTCCCCTTACCTGAGAGAAGCCCGCTGCTTCTTCTCAGAGCTTCTTGCTTCTTCATTAGCTTTGTTTTCAGCTCTATGCCTGGCACTCTGCAAATCTGCCAAGAGAAGGTATATTATTCTCACGTTACTGTTCCTGCTGATCAGCATAACTAACATGCTCCACTGCAAACACATCTTTTCCCGTCGGTAGATCAAGATGTAATGTATCGCGTCATGTAACCTTATCAAATGTGCTCTTGTCCACACGACAGATTTTAAGCAGATATAACCTTGACTGCAGGACGTCAGTCAGGGTTAGGCTGCACACCATGTGGCAGCCCAAATGGAGCCACATTCACACGGATATGCCTGTCCCTCAGGAGGGCTCAGCAGTTTGCAACTCAGTGCTGTACTAACTCATCACGTAGTTCCCCAGCAGTGCGGATCTGCTTATGTCTGCACTTGATGGAGGGGTTGTATTATTAAAACTGAGGTAACAAGGCTCTCCTTTTAGATAAGATGCCCACATTTTCTACTGAACTACTAGTTTAAATACTTTGAAGTACTTCAACTTAGTACTACTTTACCTACTGAAGTAATTATGCTGATACAACTATTATTATTACAGTGAATATAAGTTGGATAAGCCATCAGGGTATAAGCATTTTTGTAATGCCAGCACAAAAAATGTGCAATTTTTATGCATAGATTCATATATGTTACTTATGCTTAATTTTTTATTTTAATCCAAGAGCAGTGATAGCAAAAAAATTTTATACAGCTACACCTGCTTCCACACAAACCAAGCACTGTAATATCAGCAGAATTAGAGTGGCTCCAGTGAAAAAGGCCTTAAATCTGCCTTGCAGTACACAAAGACAATTACACAACAAAGGGGTTACAAGAAGCAATCAGTCAGGAGAGGGAACCCTAATTTGCTAAACTGACACTCAAGATCATAAAGCAGGTTCATGGGGTTTAAAACACCTGCACAATTATCTGCCTTTACGCATATATTTATTTGTATTAACAAAATAAAGAGGTGGATCTTCAAGGCATTCTAGAAGTCGTTTGTAAATTTTTCCAATGGCTGATTGCACATCCTTACCAGTATGATTTAACAAGATGCTCTTTTTCTTCTGGCTGCCATCTGGTGCCACAGTGAGTTTCACTCGCAGAGTTTTGCTGGAACTGGGAGAATGGTTTACTGATGCATCAACTACCTCATAGATGGTGTGAAGCAAGCTGGTAATATCCTATAGTTGGATTGAAACACAAAAAGACACAGTACTGTGAAAATGGCATGAAACCTACAGCTCTGATGCTTACATCTATTTTGGACTTGGGAATTATAAATGTTGAAATATCCTCAGAATTCACTGAATTTAAAAGAGTTCAACTTTCATAGAACCTTACAACCTGCATCAAATAGATTTATGAACTGGGGCAAAACAGATCAAAACAATAACAACAACACAAGATATTCAGGTTTCCCAACCTGTGAATCAGCAAAATGGTGTTCTGCCTTTTCTTTTCTTTGTTTTCAACAGAACCCAGGACTAACCATTCACACTCCACTAAAAATTTAGTACACGTGGTCAAAACAAATACAGCAATTGAAGGAAATCTTGGACACTGCAGTCTTCCTACTTCTTTTTTTTTCCCCTTAGGATAGTTAAATGGTTCATTATCTAGAAGAAAACCACTAAGAAAAGTTGCAAAACTCTAAACCTTATGTTTGGAAATAAATTATGTCTGAATGTCACCCTACCATATGTGTTTTGGTGTCTAGTTTATTTTGCAAAATCCAAACCAGTTATAAACCTATCTTTTTGAGCTGCAAATATTATCCAATCAGGCCTGTTACAGAACATTCTTCACAGATCTCTTTGAAGGCAACGGGATGTGAACAAACAGTTACATGCCTGGCTATATCAGAAAAAACACCAGTCAATTTTAACAAGTCAATTGTTTCAAACAGGAAAAACACTGTTTAGTAGCTGGTGATGCTCAAAGGTCTCTCAGGTTGATCTAATCTAGCCAGGCTCAAACAGGGGACTACCTTAAATTGCCAAAATGAAAAGGAGTTCTCTTGGCTCACTGCTTTTCCTCAAAGGGATTTTATCCAAACTGATTTTGGGCATCAACCTAAGGCCAAAGCATTCTAATCATTGTATGTTATAAAGAGCCCATCCAATACATGTCTGAGAATTTCTGCCTGCTGGTCTACCTTTTCCTTGATCTATCCTAGGACCTGGGCTCTTTCCAGATGCCTGTGAGGGCAAAAGAAATATTTAAATCATCTTTTGTTAAGTGTAACTGGTTCTGGGGATTAAGAGTCAGGTCTATAAAAACCTCTACAACTTTTCCTTTGCCCAGGGGTCACACCTATTAAAAATGGCAGCTCAAAGTTTAGTATGCCCTAATGGGTCCCAACATTTTAGTAGTCAATATACCACACAGTCCTCTTTATGCAACTGGATTTAAAGGTGACACAGAAATATTAATTTCTACTCATACAGAATTTAGGGAAATACTGACCTTCTGATCAGGGCAAATGATTTTATGGGAGATGATTTTCCAGTTCAGTAGGAAGAACGAGTGACTAAATCCTAGAGGGTCCAGACTTTGTCTTAACATGTACCTTCTCTAACTTTCTGCATTCAGGGGAATTTCTCCAGACTTGAGAGTTCAAGACAATATATTCATAAAAAGAGAGCAGGATTTACAGTCTCTCACTTATTTCTCCACTGATATTTTTTTTTACCATGCTGCCAGAGCCTCTCTATATTGGTTGTTACTACCATGTCAGTAGCTGCTCTCCATGCTGTTGAGAACCACCGTCTAAAGCTTGAAAGAGGGAAAGACGGCTCCATGAAAATCTGGAGGACACCTCACAGCTCTTGAACACATCTCACTTCTCCCACTTCCACCCTAATTTGAAACCTAGCCAGACCTCTAAATACACACAGCCATATCTGACAGCCAGCTTGGAAGGCTAGATTTCTATTTCATCTCTGAAGAAAACCCCAAGCAAGCATATTAACAGACAAACAAATCGTATCTGTTGTTTTATACACTCTCCCTAAATCATGTTCTAGGAGCATTGTGCTATAATCCCAGACTTCGATAAGCCAAACCTTCTCCTTCAGCAGAATACTTAAGCACCATATTTATTCTTAATAGGGCTTCATACACTCAGCACTGGGGTGAACAGAGCTTTTTTCATACATTCCTTAGCAAGTGTTGGTTAGCCATGTCATCTTTCCACACAAGGCTACTATCAAGAGTTTATCAGCTCTTTCATTCACAATAATCTGCCTTCCTTCCTTTTTCAGCTATGACAGATATTTTTAAAGCCAGATGTACATCTAGTCTATTTTAACTTCAATAGGCAAAGACAAAAAAACCCCCACTGTCCTTTCACATGATTTTTTTCCCCAGAGTTGAGGTCTAACTTGCTAACTGGCTTAAATCTGACCCTTGTGCTCTGTGAGGGTCTTTCCCAACAAGCTACTTGACTCAGCAGTTTAAAAAGTACTCCCAAAGGCTGTCATGGAAGGCCAGATGCAGCACTTGTGTGACACATAGTTGGCAAGTCAGAAATATGTGCACACATATATAACATCAGGACAATTTACATCTCTCAGCCAAACAGGCCCAAATTAACATAAATGAATGCCCAGGTTGTTGAAGAGACTACCCAGAGGAACCAGGACACCTTGTGGACAGGACACACTACTGCCTTTGCATTTTGTTACATGTTTAATAACAGCTTCCTCCACAAGGATCTGAACTGCTCTGCATTCTGGCACTGGAGGAACGTGGTGGTCAGACTGGATACGGACCAAGATCGAGGTTAGGGATATCCATAAGTAACCACTTAATGCTTATGCTGATCTTTTAAATACCGACAACAACATTTTTATTACAGGATTCATTTACTTGTGGTCCTGATTTGGGGTTGGGAATTTCAGCAAACTGGCAGTTCTGATTTGGTCAAACAAGGCTTCTTGGGTCGTTGTCTACTCTGTGTCATCTGCCAAGGTCCTGGCTGAGCAAGTACCAGCTACAGGGCAGCTTGAACCTCCTGCTGCTTCCCCATTATTGCTTCTCAGTGTAAAACACAAATTTCCAAGGCACTGATCTACTGGGAATGGTCTTCGTCAATGAGATTTGAACTGTGACTAAAACTACCTTCTCACAGTCCTGTTTTGGCAGTTAATATGGTAATGGTTTCTTGTCAAATTAGTAGCAATAAACCATTAAAATATATGTTGCAAACTCTGTATTTTTATAGTTACATGCATATTTACCCCCCAAAGTATTTTCATTTTCTAGTAGCCTGCCAAGAGACTGAGGTAATTAATGTTTCCCTTGAAAGCTGTCCCACACTGAACATTATCTGTAATTAAATTCCTTAAAAACTGCCCAAATCCATTGAGTTACCTTCTACCCACCAGCTTGTGCATTTCGCTGTCCACAAGAAATCTGACATCAAAGATCAAGAGTAAAAGCTAGTTAAATTTTCCTCTCTTCTGAAACACCCACCAGCACGTCTCAGAGCCCACCTACCAAAGAATCCAACTTTTCTGTAAAGTGGGTTATAAGTTTTACTAGTCATGTGATTTTGCAACTGCTTTGCTTAATACTGCTTGGCACTACCCACACAAAAAAGTTCATCCCACATTTCTCAAACTTGCTCACTTTTTACATGAAAAATAAACAAGAACAGATTTTTCAGTGTTGTCCATTTAAAAAAAAATGCTTTTTGGTGATGAAATGTACTTTAAACTATTTTTAGTTACAAATCATTGAGGATTTTTAAAATACTATATTAAATGGGTAAAGAGAAACAAGAATTAACAAACGAACAAAGAGATTTCTCTCCTTCATGGAAAATGGTTTATATTTAGAGGGGAAATATGCTGGATGACTAACTGCTGAAGGGCTTCTGGGATGCAGAATTTCTGCTGGGTTAGCTGGTTTAATCAAGTAAGAAAACTGAAACTATTACATTTATCCATAAAGAAGAAAACAAATGCTTGCTGGGTAGCAAACAGCCAGCACATGCCATATCCAGATTTATTTGTGTTTTGCTTATTGAACACCACAGTTGGTTTTTCCAGGGTTAGGGTTAGGATTTAAGCAGTGTTAATCTGTATGTTTTTCGCATCCTATTTAATCAAGTAGATAGTACAACAAGGTATATTAAAAAAAGCAATTTTAATACATTGCCAGAAATATTTCCATTAGAAATATTAAAAAATGAACAGTCAAGGCCACACATGTGTGCTACACTCACACATGTATCCACAGAATATTTTACAGATCTCTAGTAGGAGACTAGCAGTAATTTAGAACATTCAGAGAAACCAATGGGTCTGAAAAAAGAATAAGAGCAATGAAGTATTCCTCATTCCTTACAGAAGTTATGTGACTGAGCAAGTCCCTATTCTAGGTATTAATTTGCATTTCTGAGGAATATTAGTGGTACAGTGACAACCATATTTTTCCCATATTAACAAAGTTTATCATCATAGGACTAGCTAGCAAACTAGAGATTCTGTGAAAGAAACTAATAGGCTTTTCTGGTAGAATTAATTTAACAGAATGAGATATTTGCACCAAAAAATGCCCTATAAAAAACACTCCAAACCACCAGCCTCCCCTCAAAAACACCAAACACCCTAAAACCCCCCATGAGTTTAGAAAACATTCAGTTTGACTCTTTGTACCTTGTCTGGGAGAGAAGTCTTTGACTCCCCTTAAAACCAAAGGAGAACATCATATTTTCTTTTCATTTTTTTCTATCTGGCCCAAATCCACCAAATCTGACAGCTGAAATCATGGCTGCTCTGATACAGAGAGGTAACTACACCTCTGCCTGTTGGTTCCATTGCTCTTTCTATACCCTGAGTTAATACGATGTTGACAAACACGGTGAAAACCAACAACTTTCAAGATAAGGGTCAGGCTGATAAATGGCAGTCCCAAAAAAGCCAACAGCCTTTCCCGAGTCAACAGTTTGGTGCTGAGTTCCGAATGCAGATATAACCTCAAACCTTTTCATTCATCAGAGGATACGAGCAAAAAAAAACAAGAAAGGGAAACAACAAGACACAAAGGAAACATAAGAGAAAAAATTGGGTACTTAATGTAAGATAGAAAAAACATTTTTAGCATTAAAAATGCATGAAGAGAAACATCAATATCAGTTCATTACCTTTCCCTTGGAAAAAGATAAATACAAATGTCTCATTTGTACTTTGTTTGTAGTCTGATTTTTACATACAGCGGGATGTTTTTATTGCAACATCAGCTCTGTTTGATCACACACGTTTTTGAATCATTCCTATTTGGAATGAGAAAAGAACTTCACTTGCTATCTACTCAAAAACTACTCTGGAAGAAATAAATTTTTTTTTAGTCCTGACAAGCAACTTTCTTGTCTGCTTATTCCTGTGCAGCCACTCACCAAAGAAACTCAATTTTCCATGGAAGAACTGATTGGGGGAAAAAAAAAAAAAAAGCAAAAGCTAGTGTTTATGAAGTATAATTACATTCAGAGAGCTCAATATAAAACCTCATGGATCAAAACACATTAGTTCAATTATCCAAGTTTCAAGTCCGATTACAAATATTCGTGTGAAGATAATTACAGTGCAGCTGTCAGTTCTAAAAAGGCCCGCTGTACATAATGAATTGTCCTCTTATGGCTTAAGGAATGAAAGGAAACATTATTAGCCAAGTTTTGTAATATACATATTAGAGCAGGAAAAGTTATCTCCTACTAAACTGAAAGGACTGAAAAACTGTCGTCTTCTATGACAGAAAAAGCAGTAGTTTAATAACATACAGTAATGTTAATTTATAATTTGCCATCCCAATAATTATGCTTTCATAATGGGTGTATCTCTTCAAGAAGCATGACTAGATGTGAATTTATAATTATAAGGACTACAGAATAAGTCATACAGACTCTAGGAGGAAATCAAAGCACCATTAAGTTCTGAAGATGTTGTTAAGATCCAGAGGAAATTTCAGTAAGATGGAATTTGAATGCTCTTGTGGTGATCTGTCATTGTGTAAAACCCAAAGGGAAATTTTATCAACTAAATGAGTAACTTATTTACAAGTTTTAAACATTTTAATGAAAAAAACATTCAGTCTACCTGTAAAATTGCACTCCACATATGTGTCTCTTACAAACATAACTTAACACCGTGGATTCCTTCGTAAGCTTTCCGGACATGAAGTCCAATGTTTCAAACACAACGACTTTGAATCAAATTAAATGGATGTGGGTGGGTAAGCCACCCCTTTTCTAGTGTCCCACTTTTCCAACATGATAAAAACAAGAATAATAAGACTGATTTCTTTTGTAAAGCACCTCAAATTCTACAGGTAGAAAACTGACTTAAGAAATTTCACCTCTCTGTTAAATCCAGCTATAAATCCAGAAGACATTAAAAGAAAATTTTCCAAGAAGGAGAAAAGGTCCATACTAAGCTTTTCTCACCAGAACACTGGACCTTTGTTAAAAAAGCTGACTGGTTCTGAAAGCATTTTCATCAACTTGCTAAAGGGCAGTGGCACAGATCAGGCCTCTTCCTCAGACTGCCTGTTCTGTCCCTGGTCCAGCAATGTACTTCACATACTTTTAACTCAAAGCATGTCTCTTATTCATTTTAATTAAAACTATTCACATGTTTAACATTCACCATTGTTAAGTTATTTGCTGGGACAGGAGCAGAGTAGCTTAGCAAAGGACAATGTGAGACTCTCTACGTCTACCAATGTGCCAGGGGCCAACAGTACAAGAAATTCTATGTCATATGAAGGGACAAAAATTACTTTTCTGTGGCCAAGACTATCTATGAGCTGCTATTGTTGGACATTCTTGCCAAAAAAAAAAAAAAAAAAAAAAAGGTACCACGTAAATAGCACCTGCAACAGAAGACAAGACAACCAACAAGCCCTAGAAGAGTTGGCAAAAGAAGTATGTAACATAAATGGGAAGATCTTCAATGGTGCATACTATTTGTTTCTATCTTTGGTCACATGTAAAGAGCTGAAAATTATCAATCTATTGGGTCCCTTGGTTAAAAGAATTTTTTTTGGCACAGGTTCAAACCTGAATGTAGCAACCTCCAGACCTCAGAGTAGTATGATTTTCAATCCCTGTACAGATTTGGTTTCAGTTAAGCTGCAGTCTGCTTTTGTAGCGGGGAGAGGTAGAATTTGGCTGTAACATATTCTCTAAGTACAGTCAAATTAAGCTCTTTGGTGTACCACATAATCACAAATAATTATTGTATACATACTTGAAAGCATATTGGCATTATGTTCAGCACATGAAACTCCCACTGACATTAATGGGAATTCCATGCCTGAATGTAAAATACACCCATGTGTGTGGGTTTGGGTTTATGTGTTTTTCCCCTCTTTTTGAGTCATGATAATCTTGTAATGAAGACTTAGCCTTGGGTCTCGAAAGGGTTCAGTTTGCCACTACATTCTTGTAAGACTTTGAGCAAGTTATTTCACTTTTCTAGTCTCTGTTTCCCATACATTAACAAATATACTACTTCCTCACCCCACCCCTCCTTGCCCCCTCTTGCCCCTGTGCCGCATCTTCCCGTTTGAAACTCTGGACTTGGTCTGCAGCTTTTCATCTGCTTGTCCTCTTGCATGAGGGGCACAGATTTCACTAGGCTATTCAAAGCACTGTCAGAGTACAGACAATAAAAATAGCCTAGTAATGATGTTCAAATAGATGTTAAAACCCCTGAACAACCACAACATTTGAGAATTGGTTCATAAATGTCAAAAGAGATTTGCTTCAGTCTTACAGGAAAGAATTCTGCCCTCAGTTGGTGTCTAAGGCCACTACACTTTCAGTGTTTACTCTATTCCTTTCAATCCCTCTTTAACAATTGTCACAGACACCAGCATAAGAGCTAAGAGAGCAAAAAACCTTTGCTTTCCAGTTGATTACCTAAAAGCATGGAAGACAATAAAAAATCACCTCACAAAAAATCAATGACAGCACATGGTAGTAAATCTCAAGTAAATGACATCCTTCTAGAAGGAGTATTATTCAATTTGGGTAGAAATAGTTCTGAAACTGTATCTAGTTCTAATCTGTGTCCATCTTCTTATTTAACTTCTCATTTACACAGGAAATATGACTTGAAGTCACCCTGATAATAAAAAATCAGGTGTGCTTTGACAGCCATTCACTATGGTCCTCCAGCAAACATCAGTGTTATTTATACGTGGAGGGATAAGGCAGAGATCAGCCCAGTATTCATGAAAACAATAGAACAGTATAGTTAGTACTATTGGAAAGAATGTCAGCAAGCAACCTTGCTATTTGGTTAGCTTAACTCTGAAAAGCAGGAGAGAAGCCAGAACAATATACATTTGCAGGGGTTTATTTTGACAGTGTGTTTAGCTGTTCAGTTTTTTCAGATATTTTTCCTCCTCAAATGCCAGTACTATTTTTTAAAGGCTAATCTCAGGTATTAAACAACAATCAGCTTAAAAAACATCTGAAAACAGTAAACTACTGGTGGGCTTGTTTCTAGGAGGGAAGGGTCCATGGAAACTGCTGTTTAAGTTGGCAGGACACCTCTGCTTCATAGAAGAAAAAATGTTCCTGTTATAAAACACTTCTCTTATTAGCAAACGCTGCACATAAAGGGGCAGCTGTACTTTGCTTACCTCACGTGTGACTCTTCCGTTGTTATCAAAGTCATACAGTGTGAAGGTCCATTCTTGCCTGTTATCTTCCTCTACAGACACATCACATTGCAATTCCTAAGAAACATGCAAAGAGCAGCTGATTACCTAAAGCAAAAGGCCTGTTTGCAGAGGAGATTCTCCACACAAGGAGGCTGCTTGCTTTCTTCCTTCCTCCCTCCCTTGTAGGAGGAAGCTTTCGGGATATGTCCCAGAGAGGCCTCTGTCCACCATCACAATCACATAACCATCCTAACTCTCTGGGCTACGCTTCAGGGAATTCACAACATGCTTTCTACTTCATTGTAGAAAACAGAAAAAGGTACAAGAAAACTATTTCCCAAAGCTCTTGAAATAATAGTAAGTTTTCCCAATAAAAAGTGAGAAGAAAAACTCTGCTTAACTCAGGAAGACAACAGACTCAGAGAAGGAGGCAGCACACTACTGAGCCAGGAGCAGGGATTAATACAACATGGGCACAAATCCCCACCACAGACCTGTCCTTGGCACAGATATTTGATAGGCAAAGACTGTCAGAGTTAGTGCAGTACAGCATCATGCCACTGGAGCTCCTGAAATGGAGCCGGCCTAGGAAATGGCAAATAAGAACGACCTGGGAGTAGTGCCTGCTCTGTGTTTTAACTGTGCTTCTGTTAGTGAGAGTATGATTTGTGGAGAGCCTGAAAGAATCAATTTGTTAAAGGGGGAAAAAAAAAATCCCCAACCAAAACCAAGATTTCAGTCAAGAACAAAGGATGCACTTTGACTGACTCCAGTCACCTGAGTGAAAATCATTTGCTCTCTCTTAATCAGCCCGTACAATCAGAATTATCCAGAGCCACAAAAAGGCAAAACAGAGAAGTTACAGTGCAACTAAAATGAAAGTCACTGTATGCAAGTAAAACAAACAGCTCCAAATAACTTCAGCATGATAGACCTCAAAATACCTGGTTGATCTTCCGACTTGAAACCAATTCCCTACAGAAGTAACGGGTACCCCCTGTCCCCTGCCGAGTTCAAAGGCAGTCTTCTCTCAGTTGTAACAAGCCCGGCTGAGAGCTGCCAAGTGCCCCACACTCCACTGTGGAAACACAGTTTCGTATTACATAAACATTACCAGTACCTTTAAAAGCCGAATCACATCCACCTCAGATTTAGACCTCTCGTCGTAACATTTGTGTTTCTGATTCTTTTATATCTTTGAAACGTTTACCAATCTCTTGGCTCCCAGCGTACAGAGCTGGAAAACTTTCATTTGTAGAACAACGGAAAGAATATCAATATTTGGTTTCTTGCCACATATTAATACTTCGCTGTCCCACACTGCCTAACATAACATCTTTATGTGAGGATGTGCTCTGCTTAGTTAAGAGCCATGGAAACCTTCCCTGCATTAGTCACGGTGCCTAGTACCAAGTGCTAACCTTTATGGCATGCCAAGAACTACTTGGGAACGAATGCAGACTTTGCCAGCACAGTGGAGTTACAGCTACTCTGGCACCAAACATGTTGACAGGTGTCCTCCAACGTTCAAATATCAAGGCACTGTTAACTGCAATTTATCATGCCTTTCCTGTCTACAAATGTCTGCTACTCGAGGTAGAATACAAAAAGTGCCTAGAAAAAGAGTTATCACGGTGGAGAGGAAGAAGAAAGAAAGAAAAAAAAAAAAAGGCTGGAAATGTCCCTCTCCCCAGAAGGCACACAAGCACCTAGCAACACCTGAACTACCCATGGGAAACCTACCTCCTCTTAATCAGCCTCAAAACAGTAAAAAATAAATCACACTGGACTACTCAGTGTGCCCTAGAGAAGGAAATGAACACTCGAGCCATGCTGCAAGGTGGCTGCACGGTCTTTTAAACAGCAGTTGAGGAAACGAAAAGCTCATTACTGTGACAGGCTGACAGCACTGAAAGGCACAAGTCTGCCACATCTGCTACAGTGCAGAGATGAAAATTTGTGCTGTCTCTTGCTGGTACCAGAGTATCTTCCTCCTCACCAACACAGACAACCCACCAGCTGGATGACAGCATCTTTTAATACTCATATTTATTAAATCACTCCCTATATAAAGAAAATCCACCAACTACACACAATGTCTGCCAGTTGTATGATGTTTGTAAGTCTACATGGAGATAAACTACTGGACTCATCGCCCTCCTTTTCCTCTTGCTGTGTGATCAGATGAATTTCCCCTGCAGGAGGTCAGAGTTATTTCCCTTTGGAGACCTGGGCACAGAAGACGATCATTATGGAAGCTTTCACAAGCATCTTTTACACCAGGAAGATTTAACCACGTGCAGTAGTCCATGAAATTCAGTCTAAAGATTTGATAACACGACAGCTGGCATAATAGGTAAAGGGTTAAACCTAAAGCCTCTTCTTACTATACATTTCAGATCCTACAGAGGAGTGATCATCATTTGATTCTGTCCAAACCTGGAAATAGATGTCATTAATCACTCCGTAAGGACACCAATAGTAAGACACTGACTTGTGCCAATTCTGCTGCCTCCTGTGCCCATCACAATCATCGGGAGCAATAAACATGCATCAGATGACATTATTTGGTCCACAGGTTATTTTTCTACCATAATTATGTCAGTACAGCGAAACTTTAAAATGCAGAGGACTTACTTCAAATTTCAGTTGCTTCTTGGAACTTGTGCGTGTGTCACTTTCTTTTTCTGCTTTCTTTTCATCTCCACTGCAAACTCCATCTGTCTTCTCTGGAGGCAAAGCCACTGAAAAAAGAATATTTAAGAAAAAACGCTTATAAGGAAATGTCAAAGCAGACTTATATTTGCAAATCTGTCTTTATATTTAGGGTGAAATTGATTTCAGCAAACTTGTATGAGAGGATCATTATACTTGATTTGCTTTTGTGTTCACTACACATCTGGGATAATTTCAGCAGACAATCTACCAACAGCTTTTGGTACACAGCCTCTCCTACAAACATCACTAGAGTCACAGGAAGTTCAAACACAATATTATGAGAATATAAATCAGCAGAACTGTTACTGCAAATAAGTTGAATAATTTGCAAAATATTGAAAGTTGGTGACATATTGCAAAAACACATCACGTTCACCGGCAGTGAAGGAAGTAATGAAGCTGAAATAAAGTTCTCACTCTGTTCCAGTTTTCTTCTTCAAATACACACTAACCTTACTACCTTCCAAGAAGGTAACACTACCTGACAAAAAGGTTACACTACCTGACAAAAAGGTTACACTACCTGACAAAAAGGTTAAGCTTCATTTTTTCAAATATGTATGAAAAAGTATATTTCACCCAAGTTTCAGATTAAAACATCATGCACTTGCATAAATCAATAATGCTCATAAAGAGCATCAATATTAACATCTATCACAACATATCATAACATAGATACATAACAGAAAGATATATGCTTCTCATGTGGATTAGAAGACAATTGCCCATTAAGTTAACAGCTGTGCCTTTGGCTCCTGCAGAGGCACACAGCCTTGCAGATGATGAAAGCCTATATCTGAAGAAAACTATATTCTATATTCATTAGCATTATGAAAATATACATGGATTTTTAACCCTACTCTAAGACTTTTTAGATATGATTTTTTATACCTCTGCCAGCAATCTTATGTCCATACTACATTATGTATAGCAGCAATCCTGCCTACTCCCCCAAAAATAGCAGATATTGGGAGAATATGGGTCCTAAAGTCAGCACTTTTTTTCTCTTGTGTTGCAGCTATGTAGGAACTGTTTCGTGCAGATGCTTGTAAAAGTAGGGTCTCACTTAAGTGCCAGTTCAGTCAAGTTAGATTCCTTACAAAAAGGGAGACATGATCCCTTCTAGTTCAGGGTGACCCATTTCAAACCAGGTTTACTCTGTGGCTCTCCTGGTGTTCCACACTGCTGAGCTGCCTCCCAAGCATTCTTCCAGGAAAGCAAGTCACTAACATGCTAGAAATTAAAATACTCTATTAGCCATTTTCCAGAACTTTCTTTCATGTTTAAAATAGAACAATTAGCCTAAAAAAAAAAAACCAAAAAAACACAACACAGAACCCCAACTCACACCACCATACTCTCAGAAATTCCAGAAGCTAAGATTTTTGCCACAACAGTCACATTGCCACACTGCAACACATATCACATTTTCTAGTCTCATTTCTTTGTTTAAATAGAACACGGTTGTGTTATTTTTGTTTGTTTGTTTTTAAAACTGTGGTACACAAGATGGATGTGCAGTAAAGAAAGGGGGAATGAAGTAGAAATCCAAACCCTTGGAATTTCCCGACTTTGATACTTATTTGCAGTTTTGATGTTAGACTAACACCAGCTTCCCAACACACACATGTAATTTGCATTGCACAAATGCAAGCAGACATAGTATTTATTATACACATACTGACATGCTGATATCCTTTGATTTCTGCTCCAGGTCATGTTAGGGTTTCCTACACCAAATATAAACTAACTGGGAAGGTCAAACAAAGGAAGACAAAGCTGGCTTCACAGCAGTTTCTTCCCTAATCCTTTTAATTTGGTGTTATTGGACAAACAGGGACTGTTTCCTAGGAGGTTTTTGTACAGTGTTTATCACATTTAAGGCAGATATTAAAATAAATATTACTTACAATACATAACTTTAAAGCATATCTGAAGAACCACTATTTGCTTTATACTCACTTGGTTCATAAATACAACTCAACATTCTTGGAAGTTCGAAGCTAAACCCACAAAAAGACCCCCATAAAACAAAAGACAACATTTGTTTGTCTACCTTAGTCCAGCTCTGTTGCTTCCTTCTAAAATCACCAAGAACATGGGCCTTCATAAAAATCTCAGTTAAACTGAGAATGGTACCTCTTGGTTTCAGGAACAGCCCTTCCACTGGCACGTTTAATAACCTGTCTGGATGTACAATTTGTGTATTCAGATAGGAAGCTTTCCCTTTCATGTATAATTTATGTAACAGAAGAAAAAATGTGCACTGACAAATTAGTCTTCTCAGAAAAACAAGGGTTCAGCTATTGGGGAAGGAGGGGATACATCTTGCAGTACACTCCTTGAGAGAGTTTAAATACTGTATGCCAGAAATTATCCTCTTTGAGCTTTGCTGACCTTTGATCTGAAGAACTCATTGGCCTTGCTGCTCCAGGGAATTATCCTTTGAAATCAGTTACTCATTTTGGAGCTGAAATGGAATGGGGAAATCGGGTGATCTCATCCTGATGTCAAGTTTCATTCAGTAAAAAAAAATGAGATCTAAACGAGGAAACTTTAAAGGGGAATACGGGGATATTAAAAGAGTATTTACAAGTGATCAAACAATGTGTCTGTACATATATCCTCGTGTGCCTTATCCAAACGCAATGAACATTTAAAAATAATTACTGTTTTGTCTGAGAAGAGAAGGATAAGTGTTTGGTATCTTGCTTCTATACTTAGTTTTGACTATTGACATGTGCTCAATTTCATGAAGGATACAAACACATGCTGAACCTACTTATAAATAAGATGAGAATGTCTGCTTGGGGCAGTTAAAACTGGCAGCCTGTAAACAGAGATCCACCAGTGAGCTGCCTGCCAAGGTTCAGATATATTCACAATGTGAGCTTCCTTTCAGCTCTGCCAATGACATTAAACTAGACCAGACAAGATAGCTATCTCAAAGGAGTGTGGAGAATTAATAGACTTGTATTTCCAAAGTCTAGGCCATCAGAAATAGGTCCACATACAATATATCATCTGTACAAAAATACTTACTTACCTCCCCTCTCAGATAACAAGTCCTGACAAAGAGAACGTGCTACATAGACAAATACACAGAGAAACCTACCCTTGTTGTGGGAATCCACAACTGGAGGGGGAAAAAAAAAAGAGTATATATATTGCTTCTCATGGGAATAACCATATGCTCTCAAAAACAACGTTCCCTAACAGAATGTTTCATGAATTGAAATACTGCATATGTTTTCTTTATTATGCTCTTTCCTTGTTCATTATTAATGGTCTTGTATTCACTTCTATAACCTTAAGACACTATAAAAATGCGTCTGGACAATATTTGAAATTGGAAAGACAATAAAGGAAAAATATTAACTTGGAAAAATTGTGAAATACCATTCTTTCATGAAAAACAAACTGACTGGCTTAAGTGTACTAACAGATGTTTCTCTCTATGATTGTTAATTACTACCACCCAATTGCTCCTAATTGAAGTGGGGGAGGAGGAGAGGGAGAGAATGAACACCAGTTTAAAGATATTAAGACTCATCTCAGAAGAATTTTTTTCAGGGTCTTTTCATTCCTAAGGGAAGGGGGTAATAATTCAAAATGCTCCTTAGGAATCACCAAAATATCCCAGAAATGAGGTAAACTGCTGTGCTGCGTGTGTTCAATGAGCATAGAATAGTAAGCTTCAGGCAGCCAAACCATTCTTCCCTCGTCTCCATCTGAGAATAAGGGAGAAAAAAAAGAATGCCAAAATAAAGCTGCACTCAGGTGGCAAAGTGACTGTTTAAACTTTCACCCCCACTCAGGTGGCTTGTCATTCCACATTTCTCAAAGGCTCATTCCAACAAAGCACCATGCTCTTTATCAAATGATCTTCCTTCTCAAAGTAAGGACAGTTTCACTCTGTTTTTCAACTGTACTTACCATTAACAGGATCCTGTGGCCAGAATCAAAAAAGGATGCAACTCTGATGAATGTTCATGTCTAAGTCACGGTTACCAACTCCAACACTAACAGCAGTTAGGAGAAGTCAGGCTAAAGACAAACTACTTCAGAGCCTCTTTGGGATGTCATTCCAAAAGGTATGTGATTATTGCAACTCCTTAATTCAAAAAGCAGAACTGTGAGAGAAGCTGTGTGATTCCACAATGATAAATTATGACTGGACATTGCCAGTGATGTCTTAACCCTATCTTAACGTCAGGGTCATTACTGTGCAATTTTTGAGAGAAAGCAGACTAAAGGTAAAACTGGAGAACTGACAAAAATGCCACCCATGAAAGTCAGCATCTGGCATACATGAAAACAAACCCTTGATGTGGAATATTATTAGCCCTCCTCTCATGATAGACAGATTGGATTCCACAGCAATTTTTTAAAACTACTACCAGAAACAAGGGGAAGAGAATTATCTGTGCATGGGATAAAAAAGAACAAACCTTGAACCTGTGACTTGAGGGGAAGTAGGATAAAAGGAAAATTTTAAAGTGACATACCAAGACACAGAGATGAAGTCACAAGCCCTTCTCTAACAGCTCAAATTGAACTTCAGCAGCAATATCTTACTGGTGAAATTGAGCAAAGAGGTAGCCCAACTGAGCTCAGTAGTAAAATTCCTACTGATGTCAATAGGGTTTCCCTTCTGATTTAACTGATCTAGCAGATGCTAGATCTCAGAGACTTTGAGGACCAAAGGGATAGAAAGAGAATTAACTTTTTTTTTTTTTAAGGAAGTCTCTGATGTCTAAATTATCTGTTTCTGTCAACATTTTTTTCACTGCAAATCGGGTTTGACAAACATAACTGACATTCTTCACTGACTGCACAACACCCAGAGCAATAACAACTATGTTTGAAAGTCTAAATTGAGGGGAAGTCCTTTAATTAACAATTATATTCACATTCAGATTTCACTTTTAAGTTATCCTGGAGGCCATGGATTAAGAAATATCACCCCCATTAAGGTCCCATTTTGTTTTATTCCACCGAGTTAATTGAAATATATCCCTGATGG